GTGAGTGTGTTACTGCAAAGTCCACTACTTCACCTGCGTAGCGGTGACAAATTGATATGGAACCGCCATTGGTTGCTGAAAAGGAATAACAATTCAGAGCCAAAATCAGTGACATTCATGGCTTGGTGAATGTCGGATTGATGGGGAAATTGGTTCAAAAGGTAACCTAGCAGGATTAAGTCTTCACATTTGATGGCATCGATCAACTGGTCTTCAAGTTACGCTGAGAGCCAAAAGTACTCAGGTTCAGCTTTGGCCAAGAAGCATTCAAATGGCTTAAATATGTGCTAGCATATTTGGCACGCCTGGCGCAACATAAGTATCTTGAAGAAGATAGGGGATCCGTTATTTAGAAAGTGCCTGTAAGACAAACATTGCGATAATTGCCAGCTTCTGGCGTTTTGGGTGGACGAATTTAGCAAGCACTGTTGATACGTCTATTGCCACAAAACTACCAGTCTGACAACGCATAACAGACTTACTTCTAACCTAGTGCTTAGAAAACAGCGGGTATTTAGGGTCAGGTTAGGTGCTTGTCAGCATTTGAAGGACCTTCTGTGTGTTTAAGGAGAACTAAACTGTGCAGACAACTTAGAATAATTGTCAATTTTACGAAAACATCCGAAAAATTGGTTGAGCTTTTGTCCCAGAAGCATAAAGTGTGGAAGCACTGCATGCCTCTATCACCCTTATTTTGGTTCATCAACAACGCAAATTCATGAACCCGCTGGGAGATTCGAACCCATAGCTCTTTGAGCTTAAATTTGAAACTCAAGTCTTCCGACTAATAACATCCGATGACCAATGTAATTAACTGATATTTGGACAGGATGTAGCGCCACTCATCCCGGCGTACGACATTTCCATTACGCGTTGAAATCCGCAAGAGCTTTTTCTGTAAAGACATTGAAGTGGTGAGATGCACCGTTTCCTTCCGAGCTAACTATGAAAAGAAGAAGGCCCTCGCCTCAAAGCTTTTTTATTGGAAAACATCAACTGAACGGTTACAGACTATTAGACAGGGAAGCAAAACTCTCAAATTCATCCTCTTTATAAAAACTAAATATCTGTCTTCTCGAACGCGTGTTTCTGAACTTTCCCGGATACTCATTGAGTACCAGTCAAATGTAAAAGAATGCTGCAAAGCAATTCCACAAATTCCGTAATAAATCTCACTTTTCAATAGACGCGAAGCGGAAACCGCATTTTACTCGCATGTCTCCTTATAAATATCCACCGTTCAACTTGTAGCTTGTTGAGATTAGAAGAGAGCTTGGAATCGTACTCCATTATGCATCCTAAGACAGAAGTCATAGTTATGAACCACAGTCACAGGCCGGGAGTTTGAATCTTCCGGGAAACCAGTGAGATGCGCACTGTCGGTGATTTACAATAGAAATAAAACAGCTTTAAGTTGTATCTATGTTCTCTGGCACAGATAAACTCCGCCCACAGAAGAAAATGCAGACCGAATCAGTAGGCCTTAATTTTGTGACTGTGCCTGTGTGCCTGTGACCCTTACTATCAAGGGTCACCTACACCAAACCTTCAATCTACCAAATCCGAATAATTTTGTCTTCCCACTCCAATGGAAAGCCTTGAAAGGCCGCTTCTTTTGGTACTGAGAATTTCGCTCTCATCGTCTCAAATTCGTTTTGTAAACATTTTGACGTATCCGCGGTACGTAGCTCACTGAACTTGGTCCTAGACAATTTTCACGACAAAACGGAGGGGATCACATAACGCAACCGGCCTGGCTATGACCAAACATGAAAGATAATTACTTCGTGATTCATAATACGAACAGTGTTCACTCAACTCTTGCCTAAACACATGATGAGTATAGCATTAGCTTTCTGCTAACTGTGATCACACGTTGACGTTATGGATTTGTTGTCCACAGGAGATCCACTTTCTCAGGTCAGCGTATGAATTGCACCTAGTTCATTCTGTTGATGTAGAAAATAAGGTATCTAAAAGTCGTTTACAAGAACACAAAGAATTTATTACACCTAATTGTTTCTCGCTGAAATTAAAATCAATACTGCAACAAAACGGAGGTTTAACGGTACACAGCCTTTTTAATAACTGGAGTACTAAGGAACCTTAATCAGAGGAACCTCTGAAAACGCCACCTAAGTCTCTCCAAAAAGCCCTCAGAAATAAGGCGGATGGCTGCAGGTGGAAATTATGCCATAGTCTTTCACGGAAAGCCGGGTGACGCCTGATATTACTGAGCCCGAAATCGCATTCGCTCGCTGATTTGTGATTCAGACATACGCCTAGTGGATAGGACCAGTTAGCCTCGTTCTATAATTTAGTGTAACTCTGTTGACCTCACCACTGGGCCTGTTTCCGTTGTGCAACGCGATCCATTATGGCTTTGTGGATACACGGATTGACATGCAGGATCAAATTTTCTTCTCATGCTGCCCAATTCGAGCTCGCCTTTGTCACTTAGCCGCTTTGGTTCACCGGGAGGGCACAACCACATAGAGGATGTAGAGCCGCTCTTTTAGCCTTTCTTGCTGTGAAGTCATTGCACCGGCTCAAAGGCTCGTATAAAGGCACATAAAAGTGATTTGCAATTAGTCGTGGACGCCATGTGAAGGAAGATTATCCGGCGTCCAAATAACCGAAGTGAAACATGCGCGCTCTAACATTGAAATGCTCCGTATCATGTACCCGGTATGTGCTCATCAGCCCATCAGCCGAGCTTTGTTAAAACAAAGTGGAATTGGGTGTCAGCCCCCCTTGAGGACTTCGATAGTCTAGGTTGGAAATCAAATTTCTCCGGAGGCATTTCATAATCAACAGATTACAAACAAGCGGCCTTCCTCGTATCAGCTCGTTTGACGCGCCCACTGATGGTCGCATTCTGCATCCAAATCAGATGACCCCTTTGGCGTATCCAAGATACAGTTTAACGTATGTTGTATATAGAGTCTGACGTTTGAGAAATTAACGCGTTAGAAGTGCACCGAGCCATCCAATGAAAGAAGAGTCCTTTTTGTTGCACTTCCCTCGATGAAGTGCGGAGGACCTGTTTGTAGACAGCCATATATCTAAGTTCTTTTCGGAAACCAGGTTCGTAATACCTTCTGATCCATTCCCACCATGCCAGATAAATATGTTCGATAAGTCGCCCTCGAACGAAATACGAACACATTTTTCGTAATTCAGAGAGTATTGCCGGTCTATCCATTACTTTTTGGCGCCGGCATCCAAAAGGAGTAAACTGCCACCAGAACTCAAAGATTCCCGGTCGTCCGCGGAGAGTTGACACGATGATGAAAGCACATCGGAATGATCGCCCTTGCATACTAAAAAAGTTAGTGGCCCCAGGATGGAGCTGTAAGGAACATGAAAGTAGAACGATGAAGATGAGGAGCTGGCTAATTGAACTTCCAATCGGGACGTCCGACTTTACTCACAATTTACTCATGAGCCACCAGGCATTGAGTCTGTAGAGTAGTGTAACTTGATTAAAGGCATTTGATTAATCAAAAATATGGCATTCAATCAGTCAGCAGTCTGGAGACAGGAGTACAGGCATGGTCGTCACACAAGGACGATCCATGAGGAACTCGGGTTGCGCCGAGTAAACAAAGTTGTTTGTAATGAGGTGATATATCATGGCCTGCTTCGGAATGAACGTGGTGCGTTTGGCTGACCGGAATACACGCCTGCATGGTCTTTTCTGCAGTCCTCGGCTACTGCAAAGGATCGCTTGTAGGCTTTTTTCTGTCCCTTGATTAGAAGGATGTTGGGTTTCTTCTTCCGTGTTTTCTTTGAGAATTAGTGTCGTTCATTTGCTTGATTGGCGCATATGTGATTAAAAGCGTTTTCAAGGCTTACAAAAAACCGAATCACCCTCATAACTCTCTTTAGTTATATTTTCGAAGAATGGTTTAGACGCTACTTCTAGAGGGCGTTTAATCCTTCGGGAAAGTTTTGATTCGGACGTCCATCCGCTCATTTTTGGGACCAAAAGCTGCATCACTTTGTCAATTTTCTAGATAAGGGTCTTACAAATCAGCTCCACTGAAGCTAATCCGTTAACGAACCAGCTGAATAAGGTGAGAAGTTCTGAGGGGTCTGCGTGGTGACAGTCTTTGAAGCAACTTTGAATTTCAGGGATCCAGACCAACTAGTTATTGAGTCAAAATTGAACACCATAGCCCAGAGGCGCCGCGTTTATTGCTTAAAAGGCGAAATGTCATTTGATTATGACGACCATATCTAACAGAATGGTATTGGCCTGTGGGATGTCTGGTTGGTGCTTGAAATCCTGAGACAAGGAGCCTCGTTTCACGGCTTGAGTCAACGCCAATAAAAACGTTCACCAGATTCGATATCCTGAGATTTCACCCAGAAGGCCTTGGGCATTGACAGTATCTGTCAGCCAATTGCTCCATGTTAAGTTCTGCCCAAAACTCCAGAAGCGAAATCGTTCGAGTTAAGCTTTACCAGCAAATGTGGTACAGTGAAGACAGTAATAAAATACTGGAATTGTGCGAACCTCAAACAGAAGGAATAAGCAGGTTTCCGTGTGATGAGTGGTTAGTTCTGAATGGGGTCCAAGATGACACACCAACTCAAGACAAGTTGTCCACAAGATAGGGAAACTGACCGGCTTGATTTAAGCAAGATGCGCTTGACAAAGTCAAAGAGATCGCCCACTAACAGCTAACAAGAATAATATCCTTGGATTGGCAGAATCTGCGAATGTGTAAACTTTACGAAGAGTTAGTTTAACCCGAACACATGTTCCAGAGAACTACCGCTCATACCATTTTGTTTAAATGAGCGAGCTTTCAAGGTCACAAATCACCGGCAATCTGCATGTGATTTGATGGGGCAAACATCAAATGTTAGCATAGTTGAAATTTTTGAGGTATCCTCCAAATGTGATGTGAAATACAAGGCATATATGTGATGAACATGACTGATGCTCTATTCATTGCTCTATTCATTATTCTCTTGTTTTAATATTCCATATGCTGTACAATATTCGCCAATTCGAATACATACGTGCTGGTTGCCACTCTGCTGAATTCTGGATTTCTAGTTTGTCGGGTTGTACTGATATACGTACGAAACTTAATTACCACATTTTGGCGTCGCGATTGGAACAATTCATCATGCCTGCAGAAATGGAACTATTAGATGTTAATTCAACTGCACGTGACGTAGAGAATTATTTGGAACGATTCGACATATGGTGCCTCACAAAATCCGATATGGATGATAAGAAACTCACTGCATATTTCCTGCATTTCGTTGGCAAGGAGGCGTATACTTTAATCAAGAATTTAGTATATCCTGAATCTCCAATTGATATTTCTTACACTGCATTGAAAAACAAAGTTCTTCAACACTTCAAACCGATTAACTTCGTAGCAGCCGAAAGAGCTAAGTTCAATATGTTAGCCCGCTCTCATTCTCAGTCGGTTCGTGATTTCGTGTTACAGCTGCAGACACAGGCAGCCAAATGTGACTATGGTGCCCAACTGGAAGACCAGCTGCGTGATAGACTCATTGCTGGCATTCAACTGCCCGAATTACAGCAGAAGCTGTTACTCTGTCCGGATCAGAAATTTCAAACTATTCGGAAAATATGTGAGCAGTATGAAGATGTGAAGCATGTGACGAAGACTGAGGAAGCAGTCTTGTTAAATTATTCTAAAAGAAATAATTCAAGGATGCGGACGAACAACAAATTCAAACCTCGAACAGATTCTCGTGCCTCAAATCCATCAACACGTCACTTCACAGATCGTAACCCTAATCCGATGGCTCAAAAATTCGGGAAATGCGAGTCTTGTGGACGAAACCATTCCAGATATTCATGCCCCCACAGACGAGCCAAGTGTTTTAGCTGCGGTAAAACAGGACACATTCAACTTGTCTGTAAGTCCAAGAAAGTGTGTCACTTAACTTCTGACCCAAACACTGACGTGAAGACATTATCTGAAGATATTTCTACTCTTTCTCTATCTGTTTTGTCCCAAAATTCGTCACATGTTTTTAAAACGTTGATATCCGCTTCTGGTCAAAAGCATGGCTTTATTGTTGATACTGGTAGTGTTGAGTCCATCATTCCACAATCAGATCTAACTGCATTCTACCCCAGTGCCGTGATAGTGCCTACAGATATTAACATTCGCGGTATCACTGGACATTCTGTACCTCTCGTTGGTAGTTGCACGATCCCTGTGAGGTTACTACAAGGTACCTGTATCAATTGTAATTTTTTGGTATCAACGTCGGGACCATCGATCGTCGGACTCAAAGTTCTACGTTTACTGCAAACCAGTATCACCTTACTGACTTCTGCGAATGAGAATGAACTCAAGCAACTGATTCTTAAATGTTCTAAGGCCACAGGTGGCATGCAAATTCCCAAGATGAGGCTCGAAGTTACAGGAGAGCCTATATTTCTTAAGAGACGGATTATTCCATTTGGTTTACGCGAGCCTGTTCGTCAAGCATTAAATTCAATGTGTGCGAAAGGAATACTGACTCCTGTCGAGTCATCGAACTGGGCAACTCCGATAGTTACCCCACTGAAGGCTGATGGTATTACTCCGAGAATTTGTGTTGACTACCGGCTTACGCTAAATGCGCGGCTACTGCAACGTACATGCCCCACGGAAGAGCCAGGTTTACTGTATCGTTTATCAGGTTCAAGTGTGTTTTCAAAAATCGATCTAAAAGATGCTTATCTTCAAATACCACTGGACGACGCCTACAGTAACCTTACTGTGATCAACACACCCTTTGGGTTATTCCGATACAATTTTCTTCCCTTTGGTCTGAACGTTTCACCAGCTGTATTTCAGCAAGTTGTGAATACTATTACAAAAGATTTGGAGGGTAAACAAGAGGTAGCGTGTCCCCGAAAGAGTTGACGGTATCAAGCATGATGGAAGAGAGCCATGCTTCAATGACTAATAAGAACTAAGAACGGGATACAGTGGAAATAAATTGGATGTCATGAAATTTACTTAAGGGAGAGTGAGCGATGATTAAGATAGTGAAACCAGAGGGCCGGTAGGACGGCGAATAAGAATCTGCTAGGACAACGGTCTTCTATATGGAATGGATTAATGACATAGACATTCAAATTGGTGGGCGATGTAGAACAATTTGATGATGCTAGGAAATAAGGTGCTTAGACGTACTGTGATGGATACGGAGACAACATGTGTATGGTATTAAAGCTGAATGAGAGCCACGGTGTCGTTGCGGACATCAAGAGATTAAGATTCTCAGGGAAAAACCATTGGTTGAATTGAGCAAGCCTTTATGTCTTCCGTTTCAAGGCGGCCAGCGTATGGTGCTACACGTGGCAGCTACACGGGTATGGGGAGTCTTAGGTCAGACAAGAAGCGTGGACTTGTGGAGTGTCTGAATCTGAAGACGTGGAAGGATATGGCCAAGACACCAAAATGATTTCCCAAGAAGAAACAGGGGGATGGGCCCTGTAGTGTTTTGGGTGCCGAATGGTGAGCGCAGGGTTCATGGATAGCCAAACCGAACAGGTTGGTGGCGATAGTATTCGGGGCCTATAGTTCGAGACGCAGGATAGGTAAAGGGGAAAGAGTGGAGCGAAGGAGCTAGGGTGTAACCAAAAGCTCTGAGAAAATGAATGGGCTCCATCAAGGGTAAACAGATGCCATCTCCCCTGTTAATCGCAATGAAGGAGCTTTCAAAATTTGGAAGATGATGCATAATTAAGGGCGGAAGCGGCGGAGCTGCGGGTAGGCTTGAAAGATGCGGGGGGTCCCGAGGGGCGTTGACTTACGAAAGAGGGTCCAGGCAAACAATATGAGGGTAACCAGAGTGCCAAACGAATAGATATCAAGATTGGCTTACGGCGGAATTTAATTATCCGTGGTGGAGGAAACGGAGTGCATATGTTGTATGAACAGTGAATTCAAGACAGTGAAGCAACGTTAGTTGCTCCAGGCGCCCAGTCACGGCTGGTTTATTCCTAAAGGCTCTCCGAAACTCGTTGCAACCGTTCCGCTATAACAACCAATCCTGTTCCCAGACTTTGTTGCCTACTTTTCATCGTCTCAAACCTGATCGAACAATATGCCAATCTTTCTCGTATGCCACAAGTAAAGATATGTTTGCCGCGGGTACTCTGCTGACTCAGTCTTACGTCTGTCTATCCTGGGGTTTACAGGCCATGTGGAGTCCCTAATGAACAAAACAAACTGTTGATCAAAGTCAGATATAATATCACAACCGGAAAAATCCAAGGAAATCTTGACTCAAGGTTCACAACGAAAAATTCCGCAGGTCCGTATTCCGTGGAACACTTGAGACCGAATCGGACGACTTGGCATACCTTCAAGTTAGACGTCGAAAAGCGAAATATTTGAAGAGCGGATGACGGGCATACCGAGTGAGTATGATAAGGCGTCGGCATGAACTGATGGAACGGAAAGCGAATCTGAAGAATTCAGCATATTCTGTCTTCTTGTATCGATAGCTAAAGGGAAGTTGATGGGAAAATCGGTCCTCATTATTTGGACTCGAACTTCGGCGACAGTGAGAATCCGGTGAATTCCGAGGTCAGGCGTTAGTAACTTGTGACCGTGGGTGGCCCTGCGAGCGATGTTGGCCGCATGTAATGATGAACATGATGTGATGAACATGACTGATGCTCTATTCATTGCTCTATTCATTATTCTCTTGTTTTAATATTCCATATGCTGTACATATTCGCCAATTCGAATACATACGTGCTGGTTGCCACTCTTTGCTGAATTCTGGATTTCTAGTTTGTCGGGTTGTACTGATAACGAAACGAAACTTAGTTACCACAATATATATCGTTAATTCCACACAGATAGGTACATGAATTGCGCTTGTATACGTTATACTCGTCGAAAAATTACGGGTTGTACTGATATACGTACGAAACTTAGTTACCACAATATATATCGTTAATTCCACACAGATAGGTACATGAATTGCGCTTGTATACGTTATACTCGTCAGCGCGAAAAATTATGCTTCTGTTCATCGAAGGTCAACACAACACTGCCCTTCGAGAGGCTCACTTTTCTTTCAGTATATAACGCAAGGGAACTAGATTCACTGCGTGGCTGTGATGCGAGCACGCACTGCTCATGTCGATCACCACACCCAGCTATGCACAACTAGGCAGCTGATAATGTGACATTTTCAGATATCTGCATGCAAGTTACCGACAGAGAAATATTTTCCCATTAGAAATAGTTACTCCCCTCAGCTAAAATCAATTAATTTTTTCACAGCACAAACTCAGTGTCGTAGGGGGACATTTACACTCGACACCGCTACAAAAGCGACACTAGCAAGTCTTTACACGTTCACTGTGTGCTGCGTTTCCGAGTTTACTGCCACCAACACGAGCTCCTGCCCACTACCTGCAAATTTCGACGGTCTGATCTTGCTTCAGCTTGATATGCTCCACGAAAGATAGAAAAGTCCCAACAACAATATTCTACTACCCTCAATATCTACAGCGTTTAGATCGATTCGGTTTAGGCGTGACCGCGTCTAAGTCGAATCACGCCCACAATCTGTGAGCCTGCCTTGCTTTTGCGCTATCTCTAGTACCAACAAACCCCACCGGCCATGCTATTGTTCTAACTGCATCATAATGATCGCGCCTGGCGATGTGTCAACCACCATTCTGGACATGCGTATGCTAGGATGCATACTGTGTTTGTGGTAACTACAAAGACCATGTGTCCTCAGTCAGATGAACATCCTTACATTACAGCACACATTAGTCCGAAAGATTTCAGTGCAGGATTGCAAGTAACGGCAGTGTGATTGTATGCAATGTGTGGCATCAGCCACAGGCTTTTCAGCGTAAATAGTTATGAAAAATACAAGTTGCGATTGAAACACGTCTGACGGCTTATCTCTTAAAACGGTTTGATCACTCATTCAGCCTTGAACCAACAAGATTTTCACTGCGATGAGGCCTCTGGACCATATGCTATAGTTGGAAATCGTACCTTCGCCTCCGTCCGGTTGTGAACGCCTTGCAAATGCTTGAACATGCGCAATAATACTTATCCTGATGCCACATCGCCCGCCAATTGGTCATATTGGCCCCAGTATCGCCTTCGCTGAATAGAACGGGACGAACAAAAAAAGAATGCCACTTTCGACGCCTTCCACCTTTCCGTGTTGTTTTATATTTTTATGTCCTACCTATCACTTATGCTCGGATGCGTCCAAGCCGTAGGCACGCAAACCAAGCACCACGGAATTGGCCAGCTGCATGTCAGCTCTCGCACTTTCCGCTTCAGAATTTCTATCTGAACCTGTCCTCTATCTCCATCTAAGCTTTCATCGTTGGAACTCTTAATCAAATTGACAAACAAGCTGTCTCCGTACACACTGAACACTTCAGACACTAACGTTTGCTACGTTTTCGGGACTTGATCACGGGTAAAAGCACGCCACATGAACTTACGGCAACTTTATTCTATAGATAAGATCGACTATGAAGTCCTGGTGAGCAGGTAGCCAATTCTGCGGTGTGCCGGTACCGGCATTGCTGTCAGTGCACAAACTGCGGCTTCCTGGTCGAGTGGTAAACTGTTGAAACTGAGCAGTCCTATTGCCCATCTCCGGAAGGGCAGGCGCTATTCAAAGTGACGAACAGCGCCTGTTCATTGTGAACACCTGTGCATCACGCGTCTGTGGCCCAGATTGGTTGAAAAACGCTAACAGTCGAGAAATAACCAGAATTCCAGTCTCCTTAAAAAGGGCACATTTTAATCGCAATGGAAGGAGTGTTCAAAGTACGTGCGAACCGGTAGGCGCGGTAGAAGAAAGCCTTCGTGGTGTGCTTACATCGCGCGTCAAACTAAGCAATACTGTGGAATATTGTT